AAAAAAAAAAAAAACAACAACAACAAAAACATACAAGCACGGTTCAACTTTATATTATTGCTTACTATTATTTTTCCATCCACTATGATATCCTATTAAATTGTGATGATTATAACTAAAGAAAATGAAATCCAAAGGTGAAAAGAACGATTGGTAAATGGCATAATTGGGGTAGTGAAAGAAGCACATAAGAGGACCCCAATTAAAAGGTCAAGAAAAATTCTGATTTGGGCTGTAAAGGAAGTGGGCCATATATCTTGAAGTTTTGTTGGCCACTCAGCTTGCCCCACACATGGTATTGATCAGACGAAGCCCATACCCTAAATGATTTCGCGAAAGATAAATTTCAAAAAAATTGACATTGAAAATTGACCTAAAACTCGCGATAATCCTATAATCAAGAAATCATGTCCCCAGTGTATCTCACAAAACAACTGTAATATTCAACTTGTCAACTTAAAAAAATTATGATTGGCTTGGCTAAGTGACAATATTGAATTTTGACCTTACCATCATTATAATATTTTCTTTCTCGTTTATATTATATTTTAACTAATTTTATCTTAAGCGGCCTAGTCATAGATCCATTTATTATAATTATTTTCTTCATAAAAAAAGGTACTTATACTATAAAACTATATTTTATTTATTTTGTAGGAATAGCTTTTGAATACAAAAATACATTAATTTATTAAAATATTATGCTCTAGAAACTAAGAGTGTGATTGAATATTGTTGTGAAACGATGACAATACGAATTAAAGACGATAAAGTAAACAACACAATATATACGTGGTTCGGCAATATGCATATGTCCACGGCAGAGGAGTGATCTCTTATTATTCTCTATAATTCAAATACATCAATACACCATGTATTTATAATATAAACCTACAAGGTATAAATTTACTTAAATACCCCGTACCGTACCGCGGGGACTCTGTCCCCGCACCCCCGGCCCAACTAATCGACCCAACGCCTGCTCACTCCACTACACTCGCAGGCATCAGCCTGCCTCCTTCCTTTGTCAATATACAAGCCATACCAACAGATATATATTTGACTTGTTTTTATTTGATTTTTGTTAACTATAGTTAATTTTAAAAACGTTGGTGTGACTATTTGTTAGTGAGAATTTAAGTTTAAATTAAAATAATATTTCAAATAAAATGATTGTGAGTGATGATTAGTTAAAATTATGTGGGTGGATGAATAGTGAATTAAAGTTGATGTGATGCGTAAAAATTATTGGTTGATATTATTTTATTATATTAATAATATTGAAGAAAATAATATTGAGTTAAAGTTGAGTTAAATTTAAGTTTTAATTAATTTTTTACCAGTCTAGTTTATATCCAATCACACCCTAACTAGCATCCATTGTGTTATATAAATTATCTATAATTCTGTCATTCTCAAGTTTACCCATCATACAAGTACAATNTGTCGCATAATATAGTGTAGTTATTTTTCGTGAATCATGAATCTCAAGCCCAAACTGCACAACACTGTAATTTATTTTACAAATGGATACATTTTGGCCTGTCCTTCTCATTCTTCTTATTCAAGTGAAATCTGAACTATAAATTAGCAAAACAATGCAGCCATTATTGCCCATAATCATTTTGTTAGGTATAGTTAATAAAGTATCTGTTTACAAAAATAAAACATATATAAAGGAGAATAAATTTGAGATGCAACATATCTATATATATATATAATTGCTAGCTAACCTCATTTAATAAAACATTTAATAAAAATATTTTCATTTTCCCTCCAAAAGAAGTTACATTTTTTTAATTAACTACTCATTAATCTCACATTTAAGAAGGTTTCTTTTAGTTAAACTTAATTAGTTAATGACTAAATTAAAAAAGTTTCTTTTAGTTAATCCCACATTTATGTTTCTTATTCTCATTTATATATATAAACGTGACGGTCATTATTGTTGTGCAGAAACTATATATTATTATTTTTTATTTCATTATGAATTGAATAAGCAATTAAAGTCATAAGAAATATTAATAAATGTATTAATTACAAACATTATAATACATATCATGGTACATTACAATATAAAAAATGAAATTATTTTTTTGGTAATTTAATTTCCAGCCATACTCAAT